GGGATCCCACGCGTGTCCCGGCAACACGCAGCACCAGGGGGGCGAGGGCTGATGGAGGGCATGAGGAGGGCACCCCAAGGTGTGTCTGGCCCCCGGGTGGTTACGGGGGTGCCCACGCGTGACAGCGACTGCCTGCCCTCAGTGCCCGTTGCGTGGGTATGGGCTGTATCTGTGTGCGCCTGCCTGGCTGGACAAGGGGTGCACATATACACAAATAAATACATATAAATTTGTATCTCACACTATACATTTATATCTTACACGAATACGCACGGGCACAGCAAAGGTACACTCTGTGTCTGTTCACACGTGCATTTGGACACCCACGCGTGGGCGCTTGTGGGGGTGTGTCTGCTGCTGCCTCAGCGGGTTCCCCTCTCTGTTATTTTGGGTGCTTTTCCCTGCGTGCCCCTCCACGCACCCCAACATTCACACCCGCAGGTTTGGCGCTTGAGCACGACCTTAAATAACACTCAGGCAGGATGAGGCCCGCCATCAGGTGAGGCTTTTCGCCCCCGTGGGGCCCAAAATGGCTCAACCACCCAGTCGAGGGGGAAAAAAAAAAAAACCGCGGAGAAAAGGGAAAAATAACACCAAAAAAAAATGAAATAACGAGGGGGTTGAGGAAGAGGAGCGCCAGTCCTTACCTGCTGGGTGAAGGCTGCCTGGGGGGAGGTGGGGGACTTGCTGGTGGCCCCCAGCTGAGTGTCCTGCTTGGCTTCAGCCTGGAGCTCCTTGGCCTCCGAGTCCGCCGGCGTGGTGGGGAGCCCGAAGCCTTCCTCGCTATCCGCCATGTTACGAGCTTCCTTCGCCGAATCCCCCACTGCAGGCACACATCGGGGAGAGAGCAGAGATAAGAGACGCATAAGTCAACGCTGACGTTTAATAAAATATATATATGTATATATTTCCATAGCTCCGCGCCGGGGCAAGGCTGCCCGGCAATCCCGCAACTCACTTCCAGCTGCCCGGGGAGGGAAGGAGGCCCTTTAACTTTGGGAGAGGGAGAA